CCTTCACAGATGCTGCCAGACCTGCTGAGCTTTTCCAGCAACTTTGTTTTTGTTCCTGATTTACAGCATCCGCAGTTCTTTCGGTTTTTACTCTGTAATCAAGAAGTTGAACTGAAATTTACTTTCTAAGTAAGACAACACTTTTAATCATCTTGAGTTCAACAGTTATAACACGCACCATTGCCTTGCTCTGTATGTTGATCAAATTTATTTTTACCCACTATGTTGACAACAATAACTTGCCAAAATGTAATACCTTTGAAGATACTTAACGCACTCCGCACAAGGGTGTAGGAGTCAGTTTAGATTTTAAGGGTGTTGCAAAAGTAGAAGAGAGAGGTAGGAAGACCACAGAGAGGTTTAAGGAGGGACATTGAGGGCCAAGATAACTGTGAAGGCATGACTGCAAATGTTTTGTTTATGGAAGTCAGAGACCCACACCAGGACAGAACTAGAGGAGCACAGAGATTTCAGATGCCTGCAGGACTGAATAGGAAAGGGCGAGGCCATAGACAGATTTGAACAGAAGAAGAAAACCTTAGAATTTGGCTCCTGGTCCACAAATGCTTCAAAGTAGCCCAGTAAGCTGAGAGGTAAGGGGTGTACAGATTGGTGCAAGTTAGGATACAGAATCTTGGCTTGAGCTCAAGTTTAGAAGATGACTTTTATTTAAATATTATGCTTTTCATAAGCACTGGACATCTAATCACTTTGCAGACAAAGAATTCCTTTGAAGTGTAGAAGTGACTTTTTTTTAATCTTGTATGGAAAATATCCATCACAGTCTAATAAGTAATTAAGGTGTCAACTGTACCTTACCACAAGGCCTCTGTTTGGTTGTGAATTTAAGTCCCAAGCCAGGGCTTGAGCACAAAATTGACATTTGACATCCCGGTGCAGGACTGAGGGAGTACTGTCAAAAGTGTCATCTTTTGGATGAGACATTCAACTGTGTTCTATCTATTCTCTCAAATGAAAGATCCTAGTGAACTATTTTTAAAAATGTGGGGCAATTACCCAACGACCTGGTCAATATTTACCCTCAATGAACACCAGCAAGACTGATCATTTGATCATTATGATATTACTATTTGACGGAGCTTGCTATGCACAAATTGACTGTCCTGTTTCAGAGATAGTAGGAACTGCAGATGCTGGAGAATCTGAGATAACAAGGTGTAGAACTGGATGAACACAGCAGGCCAAGCAGCATCAGCGGAGCAGGAAAGCTGACGTTTCGGGCCTAGACCCTTCTTCAGAAAATGGCCTGAAATGTCAGCTTTCCTGCTCCTCTGATGCTGCTTGACTGTCCTGTTTCCTATTTTTCGACATTGACTACACTTTAAAAGTATTCATTGACTATAATGTGCATAGGGACAGCCTATGCCCGTGAAAGATTTTGTATAAATACAAAGCTTTCAAACAAAAACTCTCTGTCAGGGTTTTCCACATTTTGAACTTTGCTGCAAACTGATTAGTTCCAAGTCACACTGAAAACTGGTTTTAGTTGCCACACTGAGATTCCAGCACATTTTATGCAATGGCAATGTTAGTAGCATTACTGGACAGATATAATGCAGCAATGCGTGTTATATTGTGCTTTGGAGAGGGGAAAAGAAGCTAAAATTCCCTAAATGAATTGATTAACTTTAAACAAATTCTTCAGTTTTGGAACATAGTAGTATTTTCCAAACAACAATTAAAATTATTTATCCTTCCTCATTTTTCTTTTACTAGGCGCTTCGGTAGATGGAGATAACCAGCAACGGTCGTCTGTATTTGGTCTCCAGGACTTCCAAGAAGTTGAGAATGACTGTGAGAAAATGAGTAACATGGGGACAATGAACTCCTCAATGCGCCACCGCAGCACGGAATCCCTGAAGAGTTTGACCTCTGATCTCTGTCAGGTCATGGCACCAGAGGAGAAGCAAAAACCTCTCTGCAATCCAATGCTAAGAAGGTCAAAGTCTCAGTCAAGGCCCCAGCAAGTTAAGTTTTCTGATGATGTCATTGACAACAGGAGTTACGAGGAGATTGGAATCCGGCAGCCTCCAATGAGCGAGAGAACCCGTCGGCGTGCGTACAATTTTGATGGCTATAGCAATCGGCACCATCACCGCCGCCGCAGGAGCAGGAAGTCCCGTTCTGACAATGCCCTCCATCTGGTGACAGAGAGGAGGAGTCCACGAGAAAGGCCTTGTGTATACTCTCCGGAGGATTGTGCAAAATTAACCGAAGCCAAAATCTCGCAGGAAAGGCAAGCGTACATTCAAAGCCAGGAATTGTATGGGCAGTACAGTCATAACCCAGACTACGCCCTACAGAACCAAGTCGTGGACAAATTTCTTGGCTTGTATGCTGAGGATGATGACTCCTGGTGCTCAACCTGCTCCTCTTCATCCTCTGATTCAGAAGAAGAAGGTTATTTCCTTGGGCAACCGATCCCACAGCCCAGGGCCCAACGATACCAGTATTATACAGATGATCTTGCAGGGCCGTCATCAGTGCTACTGAGTTCTGGTGTTGGATCACGGACCACCAAATCCAAAAAGAAAAAGGGGCACAAAGGGAAAAATTGTATCATTTCCTAGGACAGAATTAGCATAAACCAAATCTGCAAGGAGCCTTTCCAGCTTGCTACTCTGTGAATTCAGATGGTGTCACTAAATGTCTAGTGGAAGCAACCTATAAGTTCATTTGAAACTACAGAACATCCAGAAACAAAGTTATTGGTGTTGAAACTGCTACTATTGTACTTTAAGGCCAAGAGTGACTGACACAGCACTTGTGGATAAACACACTATTATTTACGCTTGTAGCAGTACACTCATTTCTGTATTTTCATGTACTACCTACTAATAAGCAGTGCAGTGGGTAACATCCCTGTCTGTGAGCCAGAGGGTTCAGGTTCCTGTCCCACTTCAGGACTTGATGGTCAAGGAAGGTGCATATATTATGTCGCAAAACAGGTTGGTTATGAACGGCAAATTCTTCCCATGCCAATGGCAGGCAGTAACAACTGGAAAGATACTTTGTGAGCCACGTGATGGGAAAAGAAACATTCTATTGTCACTGTCCGAAGCGATACATAGATACATACAACATGCATGTAAAAGGTGATGTTGCCACAGCAACTCAGACCCCACCCCTCTCTGAGCAAACACCATATAGTTCTTCAGTCAACCAGTACAACATGGAACTTCATACTGCTGAGTTTACACTTTGAGAAAGTTTTAACTGGTCTTAACAGCTTTTAACTTTGTAACCATTTTAATATGTCTTTATTGGTGCTTTATTATAATGTTAAATGTTCACTTATATTAAGGTATTTGCAATGAGTATGTAAAGGCAAAGCAAAAGTTGCTGAGTGACCAATGGGCAATAATGAAAGTCAGGCTGGACTATGTGGGTGCAAATCTGCTTCCCAATTTTGAATATTCCAGGCATAAAAGTAGCTGCAGTCCGTACTTTCAAAGAAAAATGTTGGTATTTAAAATGTAGGATTTAGTAACTAAAGTTAATCATAATTTAACAGTGCAAATACTGTATATATTGTACAGTTCAGATTAAGAACTGATATTTTTATATATCCCTGAATTACAAAACAAGTCGTTTATCTTTGGTTGTAAGAAATAGATGTAATGAAGTAATTGGCAACATCATATTCGTTTTCTTAATGACTTCTTGTCAAGTAACAATTTAGCTTGTCTTTAGGGCGTGTGTGTGTGTGTGTGTGTGTGTGTGTGCGCGCGCGCGCGCGTGTGCATGTGTTTATGCTTCTATATACAGCAGACGTTGCCCCCAGTCTTTTTGTTAAATTAAATTCTTGCCGGGGTTGTCAGAATGCAGAGTATTAATAGTCCTGCCCAGTTGCAGAACCGGGTGTCCTTGCTGTGTTACAAGAGCTCATTGTGAATCAGATAATGTAAAGAAATATCAAACTGATGTATAAATGTAAAAACTGGAACATGTAGATGAATAAAATTAATAAAAATGTTATTGTAAAATAATCAAAGTTGTTTCACTAAAATGCATTACATTCAAAAAATAAAAAGTGCAAAGTGAATCTGCATATTGATTAATTAGAAGTACAATTTTAGTAATTGATAGATGTCATACTCCTAACAGAACCCAGACAGATGGAAGTCTTGCAAAATAGTGTTTAATAATTTTAAAAAAACCCTTGTTGATAATATCTCTTTCCTGCTGTTTTATTCTCATTACTTGGGTGGTGGAAAGAAGCAATTTGTGTTTGGAACTGAAAGATAGAGGCTTTCCAATTCAATGTCGAAGTTGGTTTCAAATTATTTTTCCCCACAGATGAGGAACGGAGACTGGGTGACACGGTTGGTTAGAATAATGTTGTTCAATCTTCTGAAATTGCAGTTCAAAACAGCAAAGACTGGTGAGATTAGTGCCTTCTATCTTAATGCTTGTTGAGTCATGTGCATTTCCACTTGGTAAAGGTCCAAAATTAAAGCCTACTGTACAACAAAAGTAATTGTTAAATTTAAATCAGCAGACATACAGACAGGAAATTGAACATCCTATTGCTTGAGAAGTTAATTATCCTTCTGAGGGTTACAACTAGAGGGTGGCTACAATATAAGCAATTTTAATGCTGAATGAATCCACCTACAGAACCATGTTATAAATGTTTGTTCATCTAAGTAAGGGAAGGTTCGGGGTAGAGTGTCCACTTGTGATATCAACGCAATTCAAGTGAAATTTACTGAATCAAGACAAGGCAATTTTAAGTGTCTGTAACCTGCAAAAAAAATGTTCTTCTACCTTGATTTTAAATTCAATTAGTGCAAATTGGATCCCACAACACTGGCCAGGCTTCCAGGCCAATATTGCAAACAGGGTGATCAATATGTTAAGAAATAAACTTTGGGACAATTTGTCCTGGCACTGGTGGCCAATATTTGAGTGAGAGGGGATGAGTTTGTGACCATTGGAGAGGTGGCAGGTGGTGTGATGAAGCGATTGGGCTTTTTGTCGTGATAGTGATATTTTAACTAATTTTATCCATTATGAAGGAGGTGCAAATTGAGCTTAAGTTACTTGAATTATTTGATCAGGTGATGCTTCTGTGCAGAGATCACAGAAGGTGGCAGGATTAGTTGAGAATAAAATGAATAAACAAAATGAAATCCTAGGCTTCATCAATAGAGTGAATGGAGTAAATATTTTTAATCAACTTCTTCAGGCATGTTATGACATACCTCTGAAGCAAGTAGGACTTGAATCCAGGTCTTCTGGCCTAGAGTTAGAGCCACCACCACATGAATTCTCAATTTTTAATCACCTTGTGTGGACATATTATGATAAGACAGATGAGACTTGAGCTGAGACTTCTTGGCTTAGGGGTAAGGTCACTACCATTGTGCCACAAGAGCTGTCTAGGGCATACAGTACAAAAGCAAGGATGTTATGTTAACTTGTACCCAGCACTGGTTCGACCACAACCTGTTACAGTCTCGGGAATGCAAATCCACGGAACCAGACATTCACTTCATTTGCCTCAATTGGAGTATTGTGTCTAATCCAGGGCACGCCTCTTCAGAAAGAATGTGAAGGCATCAAATGGAGGATACAGAAAAGATTTGTGAGAATGGCTTCAGGGTTGAGGAACTTCACTTATATGGATAGATTGGAGAAGCTGGGACTGTTTGCCTTGGTAAGTGTTGAGAGACGTTTTGTAGAGGTGTTCAAAGTCACAAAGAATTTAGACAGAGTAGGTGGGGGAAGAAACTGTTCTCATTAGTGGAAGGATCATGCTCCAGAAGACACAACATAAGGTTATTGGATTTTTAATGGAACAGGTTTTCAGGAAGTGAGTGTTTTGGAGCTGGAATGCACTGCCTGAAAGTATAGCGAAGGCAGGTTCTGTTGAGGCAATCATGAAGGAATTGGTGTATTATCTGAACAGAAAGAACATACAGGATGTTGGGGAAAAGGCATTGAGTTACCCAGTAAAATACTCCTGAGAGAGCTGGCATAGACATGATAGGCTAAATGTGCTGTAATCATTCTATGATTCTAAATGACTTTGGAGGCAGAATCACATTAGAAACTCCGTGTACTTGTCTATTGTGTTTAAAGTCATTTCCAAATGTTGTAAATTTGAATTGTTGCTGTTTGACAAGCAATTGAACACACATCACCTTGAGAATATTGTTCAATTTGCAATTCAGAGGAAAGGACTGATGCCTTAAAAGCAGCCAAGTCCCTCAGCTGATCTAGTGATAACAAGGTGTATAGCTGGATGAACACAGCAGGCCAAGCAGCATCAGAGGAGCAGGAAGACTGACGTTTCGGGCCTAGACCCTTCTTCAGAAATGGGGGAGGGGAAGGGGGTTCTGAAATAAATAGGGAGAGAGGGGAAGGCGGATAGAAGATGGATACAAGAGAAGATAGGTGGAGAGGAGACAGACAGGTCAAAGAGGCGGGGATGGAGCCAGTAGAGGTGAGTGTAGGTGGGGAGGTAGGGAGGGGATAGGTCAGTCCAGGGAGGACGGACAGGTCAAGTGGGCGGGATGAGGTTAGTAGGTCGGAAATGGGGGTGGGAGGAGGGGATAAGTGGGTGGAAGGACAGGTTAGGGAGGCGGGGACGAGCTGGGCTGGTTTTGGGATGCGGTAGGGGGAGGGGAGATTTTGAAGCTTGTGAAGTCCACATTGATACCATTGGGCTGCAGGGTTCCCAAGCAGAATATGAGTTGCTGTTCCTGCAACCTTCGGGTAGCATCGTTGTGGCACTGCAGGAGGCCCAGGATGGAAATGTCATCTGAGGAATGGGAGGGGGAGTTGAAATCGTTCGCGACTGGGAGGTGGAGTTGTTTAGTGCGAACCGAGCGTAGGTGTTCTGCAAAGCGGTCCCCAAGCCTCCGCTTGGTTTCCCCGATGTAGAGGAGGCCACAACGGGTACTGTGGATGCAGTATACCACATTAGCAGATGTGCAGGTGAACATCTGCTTGATGTGGAAAGTCGTCTTGGGGCCTGGGTTGGGGGTGAGGGCGGAGGTGTAGGAGTAGGTGTAGCACTTCCTGCGGTTGCAGGGAAAAGTGCCGGGTATGGTGGGGCTGGAGGGGAGTGTGGAGCGGACAAGGGAGTCACGAAGAGAGTGGTCCCTCCGGAAAGCAGATAAGGGTGGGGAGGGAAAAATGTCTTTGGTGGTGGGGTTGGATTGCAGATGGCGGAAGTGTCGGAGGATGATGCGTTGGATCCGGAGGTTGGTGGGGTGGTACGTGAGGATGAGGGGGATTCTGTTTTGGTTGTTATTATGGGGAGGGGGTGTGAGGGATGAGTTGTGGGAAATGCTGGAGACACGGTCGAGGGCGTTCTCGACCACTGAGGGGGGGCAGTTGCGGTCCTTGAAAAATGAGGACATCTGAGATGCTGCTTGGCCTGCTGTGTTCATCCAGCTCTACACCTTGTTATCTCATTCTCCAGCATCTGCAGTTCCTGCTATCTCTCAGCTGATCTAGTGTTCTCTTTTCATGTCCGAGAATCATAGAATCTCTATGGTGCAGAAAGAGGCCAATTAGCCCATCAATTCTGCATCGACTCTCCAAAGAGCATCCCATCCAGACCCAGGCCCTCACCCTATCCCTGTTGGATCTTCTCCAGGAATGAAAGAAACATGTTGCTGGCACATGTCATTTACTCAGACAGTCCTACAGACATTTTGAAGAATGTACAACAGATGCATTTGTATATATTACTCTCTTACAGCAGTCTTTTATATAAATGTTTTACCTGATCATAAAATGTTTTCAAGATAGCTTCTCAGGATAGCATGTTCTGGAGTCCACCAGAGAGCAGACTGTAATAGACCTGGTATTCTGCAATGAGATAGAAATAATTAATGATCTCATGGTGAAAGATACCATGGGAAGCAGTGAACATAATACAACTGAATTTTACATTCAGTTTGAGGGAGAGAGGAGTGAGTCTTAGACAACTTTGTTAAACTTTAACAGCAATTATGTGAGGATGAAAGCAGAGCTGGCTAAAATGAATTGGCCAATTAAATTAAAGGATAGGCCATCAGAAATGCAGTGGGACATTTTGGCACCAATTCACATTCCGATGGATGGACCCATTGTCTCTGATTAACTAAAGACTAAAAATAGTATTGTACTTAAAGAAAAAGTACACGTTGTCAAAGGCAACTGGGGATATAGAAATGCTCGTATCCTGAGTGAGTTCAAATAATTGTGCATAGATAGGTAACAAGATAGAAGATTCAACAGAATAAAAACTTAAAGCAAAGAATGATTTACTAGTTAATAAGGGACAAATGGAATATGAGACAAAGCTAGCCAGAAAGGTGAAAAGATAATGAGTTTTTTTTATAAAACAAGAGTTAACAAGGCAAGCATTGTTACATAGAAAGCAAGTACAGAGAATAATGGAAAGAGAAGGGAGATGAATTGAACAGGTCTTTCATATCACTATAGATGATAGAAGTAACATCTCAGAAGTACCTACTCCTCAGAAAAGGGAAAGGATGGAGGAATTTAGAAAAATCACAAACACCAGATGAATGCGTTGTTAGAGCTGTGGCTTATCAAGTGCTTATGTCATGATAGACTTCACCCTGGAGAATTGAAACCTGGCGAGTAAGATAAAATTAATACATCAGTTTTAATGATCCAAAACTCCCTAAATTCAGGAAGTTCCCATTGGATTGATAGTAAATGTGACTACAATATTCAAAAAGGACAGGAGACAGAAAGCAGGAACCTGTAAGCCAGTTAGTTTAACATCTGTCATAGGGAAAATGTTAAAACCTATTATTAAGAAAATTATAGCAGGGCACTTCAATAGGTTTAGGGTAATCAGGCAGAGTCAACATGGTTTTTGTGAAAAGGAATTCAAGTTTGACTAGTTTATTGGTCTTCTTTGAGGAATTAACATGCTGTGGATAAAGGGGAGTCAGTAGATGTAGTATAATGAGATTTCCAGAAGCCATTTGATGAGATGCCACATCCAAAGTTATTGTGGAAACTCATGGTCTAAGGGATAGCTTATAGGATATGATAGAATATTATCTGGCTAGCAGATAGTAGACATAAATAGATCCTTTACAGTTTAACAAGATATGGCGTGTTTATAATTTATATGAAAGACTTGCATAAAGGGATGAGAAGTCAGGTTTTTGTATTTGCTGATGATACAAAGATAGGTCAGAAAGTAAGGTGGTGTGAAGAGGGCACAAGGAGGCTACAAAAAAAGACAGTTTGGGTAAGTAACTGGGCAAAGATCTAGAAAGGGAAGTATAATATGGGAAGATTTTAAATTCTTCAGAGGAGTAAAAAAGAATATAATCTAAATGGTGAGAGGTTGCAGAGCTTTGAGATGCAGAGGGATATGGTATCTCAATAGACGTATCACAAAAGCTTAGTATGCAGGTACAGCAAGTAATTAGGAAAGCTAATAGAATATTATTCATTCTAAGGGGCATTGGATGCAAAAGCCAAGGAGATTATGCTTCACTTATACTGGACATTGGTGAGATTGCATTTGGAATACTATGCATAGTTTGGTCGCCTCATTGAAGGAAGGGTATAAATGTACTGAAAGCAGTTCAGAGAAGGCTTACCAGAATAATATCTGAGCTGAGTGTGTTGCCTTATAAAGAAATGTTGGAAAGGCTGAGTTTGTATCAACCTGAATTTAGAAGAGAAAAAGGTGACCTTATAAAAATTAGGGTTCTGTGGGGTCTTGACATGGAAAGGATGTTTCCTCCTCAAACTTGGCAGCCACTTTAAAACTAAAGAATCACCCATTTAAAATAGAGAGTTTTTTTTTTAAATATGAGGGCCATGAGTCTTTGGAACTCTCTGTCTGAAATAGCAATCAAAGCAGAGACTTTTAAGTCAGAGATGCATAGAGTCTTGACAAGCAAAGGGGTTAAAGGTTATCAGGTGGAGACACCAAAGTCACAGTGACATCAAGCAACATTAGTGAAACTGGAGTCAATAGGAAAATGGAGTCAATGGGAAAACTGTTGGTCGGAGTCATACCTGACACATCTGACACAACCTGGTTGTGGTTGTTGGAAGTCAATCCTCTCAACTCCAGGACATCTCTGCAGGAGTTCCTCAGGGTAGTGTCCTAGGCCCAGCCATCTTCAGCTGCTTCATCAATGACCTTCCCTCCATCATAAGGTCAGAAGTGGGGATGTTCACTGATGACTGCATAATGTGTAGCACCATTCACGATTCCTCAGCTACTGAAAAGTCCTTGTCAAAATGCAGCGAGATCTGAACAATATCCAGATAAATAGAACAAAGACCTGCAGATGCTGGAGATCTGAAACGAACAAAAACGGAAATTGCTGGAGAAACTCAGCAGATCTGGCAGCATTGTGAAGAGAAAACAGAGTTAATGTTTCGAGTCCAATAATCCTCCTTCAGAACTTGGGCTAACAACTAGCAAATAATATTTGTACCAAGAAGTGTCAGGCAATGAACATATCCAATTAATGAGAATCTATCCATTGCCCCTTGACCTTCAATGATGTTATTATCACTGAATCCCTGACTACCAACATCCTGGGGTTACCACTGACCAGGAATGCAACTGGATTTGCCATATAAATACAAAGGGCAGATCAGATGCTAGGGATCCTGCAACAAGCAACTCACCCCTTGACTCCTCAAAGCCCATCTGCCATCTAAAAGGCATAAGTCAAGTGTGTGATGGAATGCACCTGACTTGCCTGGTTGAGTGCAGCTCTAACAGTACTCTAGAAGCTTGTCACCATCCAGGATGAAGCAGCTTGCTTGACGAGTAACTTATCCACAAGCATCACCACCAGAGCACTTTAGATCCCCAGCTCTTTCCAGAACCATGACCACTCGCAGCTAGAAGGACAAGAGCATCAAATACAGGGGAATATCACCACCTGCAAGGTTCCACCCCTCTTCACCATCCTGACTTGGAAATATATTGCTGTTAATTCAGTGCCATTAGGTCAAAATCTTGGAACTCCCTCTCTAACAGCCTTGTCTACCTACAGCACATGGACTGCAATGATTCAAGAAGGCAGTTCACCACTATCTTCTCAAGGGATGGGCAATAAATGCTGATCCAGTTAATGAGGCATACATCCCATGAACAACTTTTTTAAAAGTTCAGAATATTTAAGACTTCCAGAAGCTGGAATATTTTGCTTTTGCAACATATGGGAGAAAAGTAATCAGCAAATATGGTATAATGCATATTTTTTGGCATGTATGATGAATCCAAAGCAGTTTACCAACCTTGAAACTACTGAAATGCACCCTCAGATTACCAATGCAAGTCTATGCATTCTGCACTGAGAACTGGGCTCAATGTGAAGAAAATCTATCGCTTGAATGAGTTTTAAAACAGGCTGTAATTGGATGTTTGTTGCATAAAACAGAAGCCCAGTTGGCAATCCATCTGGTTTTGGCTGCATGTCATAGTAAACATAGGCACAGTATTTGTTTATAGAAATGTGTCGAAATATGGTCTTGTAAATGCAATGCATATGTTCCATGTACATCAAAACCTTTCTTCATTAAACCAAGCATTAAAAACTGAACAGCTCTATTTAATCCACCAATGCGGATTTACTCACTCAAACCAGGAATTAAGGTCAGTAGGATTCATAAGGGACAGCTTCTCCACATTAATTGATGCATTAAACTTGGGTGAACGGGAAATAAAGAAAGTAAGTGACGTATTCCATATACATATCCACATGTGCAACCTTCTGCACTTATGTTTGTACTTCCTTGCTGAGGGTTTTCAGTCTAAAATAAAAGACTTAATGAAACAATGTTGATATACTAAGCCTGCACTTAATATCCAGTTTAGAATGCACTTGGAAAGTGAATAAATATGAATCAGAAAGTTGTGATTCTCCTGAAACCACACCAACACTCAAAATACACAGGACAGCAGGCAAATCCATTCCCAAAACTGTCCAGGAGAGTCCATCCAGTGGGGTTACCAATGGGAGAAATGTTGTCCCTGCCAAGAGAATGGATGGAGACAGTAAGGAACTGCTTCACTTATCCCGGGCTGGTTCTGTCCTGCAATTGGTGCTGAAGGGCTCTCACTATTAACATGTCAGCAGTAAACATAGGAGACAGAAGCAATCTGTGAATGATGGAGTAACGAGCAGTTAGCCGAGAGCAGTGAAAAGTTATCGGCGTGTGCTTTTAGCTGAAGTCAGGATCGGGACCTGCCTTTTGCTGAGTTCAGGGGCCACCTGGACTGGAATCACATGTCGGCTGGACCAGGTATGTTTGGCAGGATATTAATGAATGCGGTGGTTTTTTACAACAATCAACAGCAGTTATATAGTTGCATTTAGCCCAGCTTCTTGTTCCAGATTTTATTGAACTTAATTTTCACCATTTACTGTAGTGAGTTCCTAATCTGTGCCCCCAGAACCTGGTGTTCTGAATTACTAATTCAATTACTTTACACTATGCCAGTTATAACTACTCTAATGATAGCTTCCAACATTTCTCCTTTGACAGATATTCAGCTAACTGGCCTGTAGTTTTATACTTTTGGTCTCCTGTTTTGAAATGAAGGAGATACATTTGCTATCTTCAAATCTAACTGGACCATCAGTGAAGACTAATGAAAAGCATCTGTTCAATTCATCTGTCATCTCTTTATTTTACATTATTAATTCTCCAAACTCACTTTCAACTGGAACAATATTCACTTTGTTTGTTCCTTTTTAACATACTTATGTAAACACTTACTATTGTTTTTACATGTCTGGCTAGCTTTCTCATAAACTAATTTTTTCCCTTCTATTATCATTTAAGTCAGTCTTTGCTGTTTTTTTTCACTCTGCCTAGTCTTCTGTTATGTCATCTATCACTAAATAATTATGTACATTCTCTTTAAGTTACTATTTGTAAACTTTCCAATTCATCACAGTTGGTGGTTGTTTCCATTGAAATGTTCTGAATTGTTTGAATCTATCTTTTCTGTGTATTCAGAACTATCCCTTAAATGTCTACCACTGCATCTCTATTGACCTATCCTTTAGTCTATCTTCTAGCATCACCACATTTGCAGTCAATCAATGGTGACTTCACCTAACTCAGCTCAGTTGAAAATAGCTGCCAAATAAGTCTTGCATTGGCTTTTTGTGCCTAGTGCTGTTATGCTTTATGATGGTGAAGCTGATGTGGAGATATTTAGCAAGTTATTGAGAAATAACAAGGCAGTGCTGCAGGGTAGCTGTATTTATAATGATAACCAGAATGGGACTGAAGGGGAGCCTAAAAAACTCCAGCAAATAAAATCAGCGGAGGAAAAATTGGTTAAAATGACAAAATTAAATGCTTTTTATCTGAGTGTACATTGTGTTAGCAACAAGTTATTTGTTGTTGCAATCAATACAGCTAATTGGCTATGATCTGACAGGTAACACAGAGATATGTTTGTAAATGACAAAGACTGGGCACTGAACATTCAGGGACTCTGACATTTTGGAGATTAGGCAGAATGGAAAACAAGGTGAAGTAATAGCTCTGTTAGTAAAAGATGGGATTAGTACAATATTCAGTGATGAGCTTGCAAGGTCAAGATGTAGAGTTGAATTCTCCCATTTTTAGGCTAAGTGCTTTTCTGGTAAAGTTTCTTGATTTCTGTCCTGACCATGGCTCATGGGGACATCACTCACACTAATTTCCACTTCTCACCTCATTAGTTATCCATCCAGGCTCTTTGGTGCCTGTCTTGTGTGATCACATGGCAACAGAGGCAGAAGGAAGTGTTTGCTAATGGCAGGCCTTGAGATGTTCATGCCTCCAGTGCCATGTTTAAACAGTGGCTGAACATAGTTTGAGTAGTTGCAGGTGAGGAACTGCTCATTTGGAACTGTTGGATCCTTCTCACAGACAAAACAGAGTAGCCAGCAGTGCAGGAAGAAAGTCAATGGATCTTCTGAGTCAGGGGTCATTGCCACAACTCCTGACTGTTACCTTGCACTCACTCTAACATTACCCCTGTACAGTAAGATCATCTCATCATCTCTCCTGCTCTTGTACCACGATTAACAGTTCTTCCATCGACTTGCATCTCAGTTAGTCATATTATTTTGGCTTATTGCAGAAGAGACTGTCACACAATAGGGCAAAGATGGGTGAACGTGCTGGCTGACATTTGGCTCAGATGAGAGGATCCTGGAGTTGGCTGGAGAGGATTGAGACCGCTCACATGGTCACACAGTTATGAACCCACTCATTATTACTGGACAGTTCAGATCCCAGACTGAAATATGGCTTGATAGATCATATTTTGTGCTTATTTTGGTTTTAGTAAAGTGGTCTGTCACTCAAATACAAACACATGATGCTGCAGATTCATGTTTAACAATAAACATTAGTTTATTACACAAAAGAAATAAAGATAAAATTGAATCAACCAAATTATTTACATACAACACAAATTTAGAGATTTAGAAACACATGGCAAAATGCAATCTAATTAATCCCTAAAATATGCCTCAACAGTATTCATATCAGAAAAAATTCTCTAATCTTTCAAATCTATAGGGCTTAATTTAATTGTGGCTTCAACTCCCCATCTTGAAAATCTGATAGCCTCTTCCTAGAACCTTCATACGACTGAGCTTAGGTTTTCTCAGCTTCAAATAATCTTGGGGTTTTAATCAAATACTTCTGGTCTGCAACTTTAAGATTAAACTCTCCATATCATGGTAAACTATTTCTTAACAATCCTAAACTACCCCCCTTCTTTTGGAGCAATTGTTTTATACGTCCATCTTTAGCCAAGCCTTCTGCAAAACCTGCCAAACAGAAACTCTAAAAACCTTTTTCAAGGTTTTGGTGTTGCTCCTCAATTCCAAAAATGCAATTTCAGAATGTTTGATCTGAAGCTCTAATGTATTACAATGCTTACTTTGTTCGCTTATAAAGTCTTCCCACATAAACACATTCCTTTTACTCTTCAGGAAGTCTCCCAGTATTTTAAAATAAATCATCATAACCACAGAAATACTTACAAGTTAATGATTAAACTCCTTGTCACACAGATGCCACATATGTCACTAGTTCAAAATTCAAGATAAATGATATTAAATAGATATAAATCACACCGCTTATATTGTAACACCAAACATTCCAGATGCGGTAATCTAGAAGGCTTCATTGTCCTGTGCTGTATTCCCACTAACTCCCTGTAGGAGGTTCAAACTTCTACACCCATTGCACAACTAATATCCTTTCTTCTTTCTTGCAAACCCCAGTAGCACCCATACAACCACGCAACTGAGTCAGCAAGGTCTTCCTCCACCTCTGAAGAGGAAGCCATGGTACCCTGTGACGATTCACCAATAAGGCTTTAACCTGTACCCTCCACCAGCTCAGAACTTCTACCCTGGTGGGTACTCTTAAAGTAGACTTGGGAGCACAATCTGGAGAGCACATTACTGACATGTCTCCACAGTGGGTCAAGGGAGAAAGTAGCTGGCACCCAGAAGACGTCAAAAACCAGGCACCTGCTCATTGCCCAGGTCGAAGATGATCCCATTGTGTTGGTCATTAGTAACTTTGTGCAAATGTGCAGACTGGCACAGGAACAGCAGAACCGTGTATCACAGACAATCAGGAAACTGGTTAGAAGGTTGGAAGAGTATACCAATGTTATCAGCACTATGCTCGTGCTGGACTGGACGTATCTGGTTGTCTTCATATACAGTTAACAGCAACCATGGAGACCCAGATGTAGCAGAATGCTCATTGGTTGCTTGTAATGCAAATACACCAGTACTCCATTGTATTAGCTATTGGTTCTTAGCATCAACAGCAAAGTGACAAGTGGACAAAGGACCTCAACCTCACTC